TCTTGTCTCTCCACCAGAGAGTTTCACGGACACACAAATGTGCTCGCACAAATCCCCCCCAACCCCCAATTAATAATCAACCCAAGCATCCCCCCCAATCCCTAGAGAGATCTCAGTGGGATCTAGCAGTCAGAGCAAGGGACTGGACGCAGAGCTCTTGGGTCCTATTCAGTGGTCTGCTCCTCTGTCATTCTGCCACCTTGGGCAAGTCACAACCTCTGTTTCTTAGTTTCCCCATGTGTAAAATGGGATATTACTACTTTTAGAGTAAGAAATAACTACAGTATCTCAAATGCCACAGTGTGGTAATAGCTGAAAAGTGCTGAGTTACTAGTGACCATTGTCCTCAAAGGGACTCTTAAAGGGATGCACTGCAGTTTATAAAGTGCCTTGGAGTCCTGTGGTAGCACAAAACGTGTTGTAAGTTATTTATCACAAAACAAGGCTGTAGGCAAAGCGAGTACAATTCATCCCACATCATTTGAGGTGTCCTGCACTGGTTACAGAATCATAGAAATGTAGGGCTGGAAGGGACCTTGAGAGGTCATCGCCTCCTGCACTGAGGCAGGCCCAAGTAAATCTTCTAGACCAGAGGTCGGCAATCTTTCAGAAGTGGTGTCTTCATAAATAAACTCTAATTTAAGGTTTTGCGTGCCAGTAATACATTTTAACATTTTTAGAAGGTCTCTTTCTATAAGTCTATAATATAGAACTAAACTATTGTTGTATGTAAAGTAAATAAGGTTTTTAAAATGTTTAAGAAGCTTCATTTAAAATTAAATTAAAATGCAGAGCACCCAAGGATCAGTGACCAGGACCTGGGCAGTATGAGTGCCGCTGAAAATCAGCTCGCGTGCCGCCTTCAGCACCTGTGCCATAAGTTGCCTACCCCTGTTCTAGACCATCCCTGAGAGGTGTTTGTCCAACCTGTTCTTAAAAAGCTCCAGTGAAGGGGATTCTACAACCTCCCTTGGAAGCCTGTTCCAGATCTTAACTACCCTTATAGTTAGACAGATTTTCCTAATATGTAATCTAAATCTCCCTTGCAGCAGATTAAACTCATATCTCCTTGTCCTACCTTCAGCAGACATGGAAAACAATTGATCACATCCTCTTTGTAATAGTCCTTAAGTCTCCATATATGTTATTAAGTTCCTGCTAAGTCTTCTTTTCTCAAGACTAAATATGCCAGAGTTTTTTTTAGCCTTTCCTCATGGGTCAGGCTCTTTAAACCTTTTCTGTTTTTTTTTTGTTTTTTTTTGTCTCTCCTCTGGACTCTTCCCAATTTTTCCACATCTTTCCTAAAGTGTGGCACCCAGAATTGGACATAGTTCTCCAGCAGAGGCCTCACCAGTGTTGAGTAGAGCAGATTTATCACCTGTGTCTTACATATGACACTGCTAATACACCCCAGAATAATTAGCCTTTTTCACAACTGCATCACATAGTTGACTCATTCAGTTTATCCACTATAACCCCCAGATCCTTTTCAGCAGTACTACCACCTAGCCAGTTGATTTAAGACCAATTCCCTCGTTTGTCAAGGTCGTTTTTTAATTCTAATCCTATCCTCCAAAGTGTATGCAACCAGCTTTGTGTCATCTGCACATTTTATAAGCACACTCTCTGCTCCATTATCCAAGTCATTAATGAAAATATTTTCTAGTCCCAGACTCAGGACTGACCCTTGCAGAACTCTACTAGATATGCCATTTCAGTCTGACAGCAAACTACTGATAACTACTCAGAGTATGGTCTATCAACCTGTTATACACCCACCTTATAGTAATTTAATCTAGGCTGCATTTCCCTAGTTTGCTTATGAGAATGTCATGTATGACTGTCAAAAGCCTTACTAAAAATCAAGATTTATCATGTCTACTGCTCCCTCCATCCATTAGGTCAGTAACTCTGTCAAAGAAAGAAATTAGACTGGTTTAGGATAATTTGGTTTTGCCAAATCCCTGTTGGCTATTCCTTATAAATTTATTATCCTCCAGGTGCTTAGAAGTTGATTATTTAATCATTTGTCCCAGTATCTTTCCAGGCATCAAATTAAGCTGACTGCTCTATAAATCCCCAGGTCCTCTTTGGTCTCCTATTTAAAAGATAGGTACTATGTTTATCCCTCTCCAGTCCTCTGGGACTTCACCCATCCTCCATGAATTCCCAAAGATAACAACTAGTGTTCTGAGATTGTTTCAGCTATTTCCTTAAGTAACCTATGGTGAATTTTATCAGGGTCTGCCAACTTCAATACTTTAGCTTATTTAACCTGTTATCCCTATTTTGGCTTGCATTCCTTCCCCCTTGTTGTTAATATTGTATTGAGTATCTGGTCACCATTAACCTTTTTAGTAAAGACTGAGGCAAAATAGATATTAAACATCTCAGCCTTCCTGATGTCATCAATTAACAACTTTCCTTCCTCACCAAGTAGAGGACCTACACTTTCCTTCATCTTTTTCCTTTCTCCTAACGTATTTAAAGGCAATAAGAAAGAGGTTCTTAAGGGCATGTCTACACTTACCTCTGGAGTGATCGATCCAGCGGGGGGGGGTCAATTTATCGTGTCTAGTGAAGACGTGGTAAATCGACCGCCACGCACTCTGTCAACTCCTGTACTCCACCGGAGCGAGAAGCATAGGGTGAGTTGACAGTAGGGTTACCATACGTCCGTTTTTTCCCCAGACATGTCTGGCTTTTTGGTAATCAAACCCCCGTCCAGGGGGAATTGCCAAAAAGCCGAACATGTCTGGGAAAAATACCACTGGCCGGGCACTTCCCCTCCCGCGGCTGCTGTGCTCCTCCCCTGACTCTTCGGCTCTGTTTAAGAACCGAGCTGCCCGAGCGCTACTGGCTTCTGGCTGCCCCCATGCCTCTGGACCCTGAGCCACCGGCCGGGCACTTCCCCTCCCGGGTTCCAGGGGCGCAGGGTCCAGAGGCATAGGGGCTGCTCGAAGCCGGTAGCGCTCGGGCAGCTCAGCTCTTAAA